TTGTGAAGGGGATCAAATACTTATTTCCCCCATGAACATGCAAATCAGTGTATCATTTGTTAGACATGCATTTCTTTTGAATTTTTTGTTGCTATTCTGTCTCTCAGTGTTACAGTACACCTAACATTTGATTTTTAGACTGATCATTTCTTTGTGAGTGGGCAAACATTCAAAATCAGCAGGGGATCAAATACTTATTTCCTTTACTGTATGCCAGAGTTCAGCTTTAGTCAATCCAATGCTGCATGACCACTATATATAGTAAGAATATACAGAATGACATGGTCACTGGGTAATAAAACAAGTATGTCACATGTTACCATAAGAGGAAGCAGTCATGTGACCAGCTTGCAGAAGGTTAATGATCCTTTATTGCTTCTTTCTTCCATACCCTGCACTGGGCAATACACTCCTGCTGTACAAGCCAACAGGCCACCACCTGCCTCCGGGGAATATTCATATGACACAGTATGCAGTGGGGCATAGCAACCTACTAGCACTGTAGCCAGTCAGATATCAGCTCCGTTTGGTTAAAACAAACTACATTCTGTAGAATTCATCTGTTTTGACCTATTGTAAAAATACTTCAATGAAAGAAATATGTGGGCAACCTCTGCTCACCTTCTGAAAATGCTAGTTGTCTGGCTGCCAAGCTAAGACAAGGGCTTCTATGTTTTTGTTTTGCCTGATCCAGATCAAATTTCTAGATCAGGAATCCTGACTTTGCTCTAGCTTCACTCCCTGCATATTTGTTCCAGGTTCGTGACTCAAAGTTTGGAAGCCATAGGACCAACACAACAGCCAGGCAATCCAAATTTTGAAATCAGCAGTGGCAGCCTACATATTTCCTTCAGTATTAGTTTTGGAGTATTTACGTTCAGTGACTTTAATTGCTGATTAAGAAATTCCCCAGTAAATTTATGTAATCAAAATAGAAAATTACAATTAATGCTGCAGAATAATTATTTTTTTCTAATTACTGCAGGATGAGAACATGGTCAGTTTTATCAAGGGTGGAATCAAGGTCAGGAACAGCTACCAGACGTACAAGTGAGTATTACCCTGCTCTGGGACAAGTACAAGTGAGTATTACCCTGCTCTGGGACAAAGTAAAACGTTACACAAGTAGATGATGTTATTTCAGTGGAACTCCAGCCAAAGCTTGATTTAATTTAGTCAGAGTGGGGAAGAGTTAGATCTTCTGCCTGATGCATTATCTTTTTCCCCCTCCCCATTTTCCTAAACTTCCTATCAGAACAGTTAGGGGGCTATTATAAAAAAAAAAAAAATTTGTATCTAAACTAAATTGAAAAAAAAAAAAAAAAAAAATTACACATATGCTTTACGTTTCGATTGTTTCATCCTGTTTCTTTAAAATTCTGTGTACATTTAGTCCCCACAAATACTTTAGAATCATTCCAGAGATCCATATCTATATTAGTTTCCTTTATGCCTGTGTCTGCAGTTCATCTCGCTCTCTCAATATCCTCCTTTCTGGCCACCTATTCAAATGCACTGAGATCAGAAAGTAAAAGTGATAAGGATTGATAAATCCAAGTTAAAGAACGCATCCCTGGCAACCCTTTCCAGGAGCATGCTCCACCCTGCTGGCCAATGAATGGTACAGAATTTAGCTGTGCTGTGCAGCATAGTTTCTTGATTACTATTCCAAAAGCAGGTCTGATAGTATGTAATCAAGTTACTGTTGGGCAGGCTGCAAAGCTAAAGACTACACCATTCAAAAGCCAGCTCCCTTTCTGGAACATGGAAATTAAAAGGGTGCCTGGGGATGTGTTCTTTCACTTTTGCAAACAGGAGGAACCTCATGTATCATTGGCTGGAGTCCCACTATGAAGGAAACCAATTCCATTGCTGCGCTATCCCTTTTAAAATGCTAGTTGCCTGGCTTCCACGCTGATCCATTCTTTGGCTTCCATGCTAATTCATTCCAGTATTTTTGAGATACTGGCCTTCAACAAGAATGCAGAGTTATGACTTTTTGCACTGGTTTCACTTGCTTTGTTTGTTGCTGGTCACTGACACAAAATTTTACAGAAATAGACAGGTAACTGGAACTCTCACAAGGAGGTCAGCAGTGGCAGCCTACATGCTTCCCTCAGTATTGGTTTACTTTAAGATAATCATATATACTGTGTGTTTGTCTCTCAGCCTAATAGAATGCAGTCTGTCAGTCCAGAACATGATGGTCTTTACACACTGGACCTGCAGCAACTGTATCGGCAGGTGTTGGCATGGTCAGTGCAAGCAGACACCCCACCTCTAGTGTGGTCCTGTATCTGTTGCAGTCCGGCAGCACAACAGTCTTCTCCTGAGGGTGGAGTCCTGAACTTTGCTCAGCTTCTGTACAATAAGTTGTCAAAACTGGGACCCAGGGTTGGTCACCATCAAACCGTGGACCCAGGGTTGGAGGCTTCATCCTACTCAACCTGCAAAGCCCCTGAACTCCAGGTCCCAATACAGGATTTGCCAATCCTGGAAAAATCTGAAAGACCAGTTTTCTCCTAATGAGACACATATCCTGGAACCCCCCAATCTGCATTGATGACAACCCTGGGGGACACCAAATTCTCTCTACACCGTGACATGTTGCTGTTTTGTCACTATCATATATATTTTTATATATATATATATATATATATATCTTCAAAAAATGCTACACACCTTCTTTTCTTTGCTGCAAAGTTTTATTGTGCAACAACATTTATCAGGTACATAGGAATGCACTGAATGACCATTTTCAGGCATCCTCACCTATCCTTTTCAGATTCAGAAGCCTGAAAAGTTTTGAACCTGATAAAGAGTGGGGACACATGAAACAGTCATTCAGTATGTTTCTGTAATGGCAACTTTGGGAATACCAGGTGAAACTCCGGACACGAACTTGAGGAAAAACAAACTTTTTATTAACCAGCGCTGCTAGAGACTTAGTAAGGACTCATGTCTGCCAGCTAAGTGCCTTGAAAAGCGTGTCACAGGGTATACATATCAACAATTACGTCACAATGCATATGTTTCCTCTTTCATTTTCTGTACATTCAAAATACTTTCTAAACAGTGCAGAATATGACCTTGTGTTTTCACAGATAGATAGATAAACTCTCTTCAGCTGAAAATAAGGGTACCAGGTGCAGGCTAGAACACATTGTTACACAGGAAATAAGGGAAGGGGGAATTGAGCTGATAACTTTACTTTTCAAACAGATGCTGTTAGAAATGTTAAAACTTAAGGGGAACTCTACAATATTTGGGTGCTGCCACATTTCTATATAAATGACATGTGGTTATACTAAAACGTTTTGCTGCAAAGTAAATAAAGCATACATTGCTTTTGTAATTATATGTCTGATCACAGAGTGGAATCTGCTAGCTGTTTGCACCCTGAACCAGAACTAGACACACATATGTGCGGCTCACCCTTCCTAATATATATATATATACTGTATATACCCCTTTTTGTCTTAATAAAGGTAAATTTAGTGCAATTATTTAGTTAGTAGCTTACTACCCTATACTGTATTTCCAAGCTACTCACAAGTTAAAGCCAACCATAGGTGATTAGGATATCGGCAGGTTCAGCAGGGCCAGCGAAGATTCGAACCATCTATAGCATGTATTGTTGTACGTTGTGGGTACAACCAAACTGTCAAATTTTTCATGCTATTATTGCTAACGGCAATTAAACCTGAGAGGGATTCTAATCCATCTCCACTCTGTCCAAAACAAAAATAAAAGGTTTTTAACTAGGGCAGCATAGTGGCTAAATGGTTAGCACTGCCGCCTGGCAGCACTAGGGTCGTCGGTTCAAATCCCAACCATGGCACCACCTGCCTGGAGTTTGCATGTTCTCCCTGTGCCTGCGTGGGTTTCCTCCAGGTACTCCAGTTTCCTCCCACACTCCAAAGACATGCTGCTAGGTGAATTGGATCCTGTCCAGGGGCGGACTGACCATTCGAGCACTTGGGCACTGCCCGAGGGCCTGGGGTCAGTAGGGGGCCCCATGAAATGCCCCTGATACCTTGTATAGGCTTTTTTGGGTGTGCTTTGAGTGTGGGCAAGGACACAGGGGCCCCATGATGCCATATTGCCTGGGGGCCCCAATGAGTTGTCAGTCCACCCCTGATCCTGTCTAAATTGGCCCTAGTGTGTGTAAGTATGAATGTGAGTTAGGGACCTTAGATTTTACGCCCCTTGAGGGTTAGGGACTGATGTGAATGTACAATATATATGTAAAGCGCTGTGTACATTGACGGTGCTATATATAAGTACCTGAAATAAATAAATAAACTCCACACAACACTTAGATATGCTCTTGTCATTAGGACGGTATTTATAGTCCCTGTGTCTCTGGGTGAATTATACTGGCGTTTGTGTATATTCCACTCCTGGATAGTGGAGCCTATCACACTTCATTGTCTGCACTTTGACAGTGTTGATGGCTTATTCTGTTTTATTACACTGTCAAGGTTTAATTTAAGTCATATGTGCAGCTTTTTTTTGGTAAAAAAACAACTGTTTTGTTCCTTCTCATCATTATGCCGTTAATGACTTGTGTAGAAGCAGGCATTAAAGGAAATGTACTGATGGTAATGGGATTGAGACAAGCAGAAAATCTTTCCAGACATTATATAGAGGATTTCCTTATCACCCCTTTAAATGTACATGCTCCTTACTGATCCCTGCCTGTCAGATGAGTGTGATCTTGGGGAGCATGTACCAATAAATGGATGCTGAAGAGGCCTTCTCTGATGTAAATTCATGTGCAGGGAGCTTAACAGCTGCAGATTACTTTATTAGGAAATTTCAGCTGGTTGGACCCAGTAAAATTCCCAGTAGAATTTTCAAAAGACAGCTGGGAGAAAGACAAATTGTTAACAATTAAGCTTGTATTCTTGCTTGACTTGCTTGAAAATATTAAAGGAGCTAAGGTTTTAAAAGTGGACTTCTTTAACTTTTTTTTTTTTTTTTTAAGGGAGCTGGATAATCTACAGAAGTGTGCTAATTACCTGAAAGGAGACAGCCATTGTCACTTTGAAGGTGGAGTGAAGCTGGGTGTTGGAGCATTCAATCTGGTATGAAGTTATATACACATCATTTATGAGTAATGTATGACTCACTGATTGGGGCAAATGTCACATCCATTGCTTTCGGCTCTAGAATAAAAATATTAAATATAATGACATAGGAGTGTTCTTATAACATTTTTTTTAATGTCATCATCCAAAAATGTGTTTCTAGTTTACTTGTACATCATTCAATGGAAGAATCTGTCACTGATTCGAAATACATTTTGCCTGCACGCTGTTTCATGGGTGGGGGGGGGGGGGGGACTCAAGTAGGGAATGTGTTCTGTCTTCATTCCTTAGAAAGATACTACATTGTGGTGTTGGCAGTCTGTGAGTGACTTTTTTTTGGAAGGTAGAAATTAGTGACTTTTATAACTTTTAAACATTAGCAGGTCATAGAAAAATAATACAATAGTCCAATCCAGTAATCCAGTAATCATTTCTTAAGTCCTTGCAGCTTGATGTACTTGAAGGGTCAGTCCACAAGTAAAACTTGGTGGGCATATGAGAAGTCTGTAGCTTCCTATATGGCTTCCATACTCCAATTGTGGAAACATTCTGCCATAATTCCTTACACTGTTCTGTCTATTTGTGAGTTTTAGATGTAACTTTGTGTGTTCCAACACAATGCTATAACGAAACTGAGACTTGCTTTTATTTGGCACAGAAGATGTACAGACCCAGGAACTCAAGCACAGATATCCCATCAATGGGTTAATTTCCAAGCACCTACCAAAAACTGAAATATCAAGCTTGGTTTCATCCGTTATCCACCATTATAATATATTCCAAGGTTATGCTTGAGTAGAGGAACATGGATATGTTTTAATATCCCTGCTCACCCATACCGGTGTTTGTGGTCCCTGCGGTTTTTAAGGGATGGGATAAGTGACATTAGCAGCATGGTATGGCCCAGTGGAAAGGCTGTCTTAAGTGAGTGCCATGAAAGGTTGCTCCTCTATGTGCTGGGTTTCCAGACTCCTAATGTACTAGGTGTGAAGACCTCTGGCAGACTTTTGTAAAGCAACATATGCCAGGGGTCTTGGGGCTACTGATGCTTGTTCTCTTCACTGGTGACTTATCTAGCTCCTAATGGTGTACTGCTAGGTCACATCTTCTGAACTTAGTCCATCATTGTATCTGGTAGACTACATGTGTGCCAGGAGCATAATGAGTCTATCTATTCTGCCAGATCCTCAAAGATATAGATACTGAAGGGTGCAACAGCCCTAAGGAAGAAAAATATGTACAGTGACGGAAATAAGTATTTGATCCCTTGCTGGTTTTGAATGTTTGCCCACTCAAGAAATGATCAGTCTAAAAATCGAACGGTAGGTGTATTGTAACACTGAAAGGCAAAATAGCAACAGAAATTTCAAAAGAAATGCATGTCTAACAAATTAGGACTGATTTGCATGTTTATGAGGGAAATAAGTATTTGATCCCCTATCATTCAGCAGGATTTCTGGCTACCAGGTGTCTTTCATACAGGTAACAAGCTGAGATTAGAAGCAGTCTCTTAAATGGAGTGCTGGTAATCTCATTTTGTTACCTGTATAAAAGACACCTGTCCACAGGAGCAATTAAACAATCAGATTCCAAACTCTCCACCATGGCAAAGACCAAAAAGCTGTCCAAGGATGTCAGGGGCAAGATTGTAGACCTACACAAGGCTGGACTGGGCTACCAAACTATCGCCAAGCAGCTTGGTGAGAAGGTGACAACAGTTGGTGCAATCATTTGCAAATGAAAGAAACACAAAAGAACTGTCAGTCTCCCTAGGTCTGGAGTACCATGCAAGATCTCACCTCGTGGAGTGTCAGTGATCATGAGCACAGTGAGGAATCATCCCAGAACTACACGTGAGGATCTTGTCAATGATCTCCAGGCAACTGGGACCACAGTCACCAAGAAAATAATTGGTAGCACACTACGCTGACAAGGATTGAAATCCTGCAGTGCCCATAAGGTCCCTCTGCTCAAGAAAGCACACGTCCAAGTCCATTTGAAGTTTGCCACTGAACATCTGAATGATGCAGAGTAGGACTGATTGAAAGTGTTGTGGTCAGATGAGACCAGAATCGAGCTCTTTGGCATCAACTCAACTCGCCGTGTTTGGAAGTGGAGGAATGCTGCCTATGACCCCAAGAACACCATCCCAACTGTCAAACATGGTGGTGGAAACATTCTCCTTTGGGGTGTTTTTCTGCTAAGGGGACAGGACAACTGCACCGCATCAAAGGGACGATGGACGAGGTAATGTACCGTCAAATCTTGGATGAGAACCTTCTTCCCTCAGCCAGGGCATTGAAAATGGGTCGTGGAAGGGTGTTCCAGCATGACAATGACCCAAAACACAGGGCCAAGGCAACAAAGGAGTGGCTCAAGAAGAAGCACATTAAGGTCCTGGAGTGGCCTAGCCAGTCTCTAGACCTTAATCCGATTGAAAATCTGTGGAGAGAGCTGAAAGTTCGAGTTGCCAAACATCAGCCACCAAACATTAATGACTTGGAGGGGATTTGCCAAGAGGAGTGGGCCAAAATCCTTCCTGAGATGTGTGCAAACCTGGTGGCCAACTACAGGAAACGTCTGACCTCTGTGATTGCCAACAAGGGATTTGCCACCAAGTACTAAGTCATGTTTTGTGAAGGGGATCAGATACTTATTTCTCTCATGAACATGCAAATCAGTGTATAATTTGTTAGAAATGCATTTATTTTGCATTTTTTGTTGCTATTCTGTCTCAGTGTTACAATACACCTACCGTTTGATTTTTAGACTGATCATTCTTTGTGAGTGGGCAAACATTCAAAATCAGCAGGGGATCAAATACTTATTTCCTTCACTGTATTATCCATTATTTGTTCAATATTTTGGTGCCTGCAGATGCTACCAAAGCTCCAACAGAACAACTGGATCTGATGAATGTGCTCTTCTTTCTGGTTGGGATAATCAGTGGAGATAAATCATTTTTCAATGTCAAGATCATATTTAGAATCTATCCTGAGTCTTCGGATTTCCTTCCTCCCAGAAACAAAGTTTTCTCAGTTCTCCAGAAGATGTATGGTATAGATTGATGTTGGTATTGCTCAGTAAGGAAGCCATATCTGTCCTGGGTCCAGTAATTTTCTGAATTCCAGGCTACCTCACCCTCGAGGCTTTCAAAAGTAATCCAGAGAAGCTAAATTGGTTGTTATAGTTGTCTCTCCACAGATGAACATAATTTCTGTTTCCAAAGCTTTGGTTGCTCCTGTACCACCATCAGTCTATGCGGTCTGAGTACTCCCTACTCTGCTATAGCTGTGTGAGTTCTGCATCTAAGCCCCTGTGTTATACTGTAGTTCATTTTGATGAAGATGGCATCCAATAACTCATCTATGATAGCATCCTCTGGCAGACAAGGGATATAACTTATAACTCAAGTTTTGCATGCATGGTAATAATTCGTAAATAGCATGGTTTGCAATCCCAACTACACACAAGGTAGTTCAATGATGGTTAGACCAGCGTGTAAAATGTATTGACGCTGTTACATCCATATAGTATTTACACAGATCACATGGTTGGTTTATTCTGGAACATTAGTAAACCTGTCATGAGAGAAACACAGAAGCTCCTTCTAGGTAGGTTATACTGATTATTTGGCTTCAGTACCTTTGTAGTCACTAATGTTGGAGAAGTACCCCCAATTACACCAGCAATCGTGTCATCCACCTTACCAACCGTTCCATATCTGCCATCCCTCCCTGCCAATCCCTCCACTGGTTTCCCATTGCCCAACGAATAAAATTCAAAACATTAACAATAACATATAAAGCCAATCTTGTCTCCAAATATCACCCAAACTGTCCGCTCCGCTCCTCGCATGACCTCCTACTCTCTAGCTGCCTTGTCTCCTCCTCCCATGCTCGTCTCCAGAACGTATCCAGAGCCTCCCCCATCCTCTGGAACTCTCTACCCCAATCTATCTGACTATTGCCTACTCTGCCCACTTTTAGGTGATCTCTGAAAACCTATCTCTTCAGGGAAGCTTATCCTGCCTTCAGCTAATAACGGAATCTTCTATTCCTCCTACCAGTCCATCCCCCACATTTATTACCTTTTGTACCACCAGCCCCTCCCTTTTAGATTGTAAGCTCCAAGGAGCAGGCCCTCTTAACCCTCTTGTATTGAACTGTATTGTCTCCCTTTATATTGTAAAGTGCTGAGCAAACTGTTGGCGCTATATAAATCCTGTATAATAATAATAACAAAGCCAGAACTTATGGTCTGCATATCTGTTCTGGGTTGTCACTCAGAATACAGTGAAACCATTGGATCAGCATGACAGGTAACTGCCACTTGTAGGAGATCAGTCACTTCTGTGTTACATTAGTTCAGATCTCCTTTACAGTACTGAAGTCAGAGGACTAACATGACATCCAAAGGGGGAGGCCAGTAATGGCTTCACTTGTGACAGGTGTCATTTAAAAACAAGATGTCATATTAAATAGGCAACATCCTATTTTGTTTTCATCTGGTGCATGCTCAGCCTTCTTTACGTATGAACATACCTTATTTTTCCAAAACTTTGGTTACTCATGCACCACCATCATATAAAGTGTGAGTGCCCCATACACTGCTGTAGCTGTACACTGCACATTTTAGAGATGGAACTGACTGACAGAACTTGTCCTAAAGGGTCCTTTGTATGCCCATCAGATGATCAGTGTCTAGAAAGTACACAACCTTCTTCCAAATGGACCAGGCACCATAGAAGACATTATCTTAGCTTGAGCAAAAACTGTATATCTAGGTCCAATTTAATATGTATCTGTTTCCAAAACTTTTCTCAGTGTTGGATAGCATAGGAAGTGGTTAATACCTTTGCTATTTTGTTCTTTGTCAGTGGCTTTATGGAGAGATTTCCCTTTGCTTCCTATCTGGAAGAAACAGCAGGAAGTGAGGGAGAGGAGATCTCTCCAAAGTGAGGGCAAATCTCTTCATTGTCAGTTGACACCGGGAGAGGTGCCCTCCATTTCATTAGGAATATTTGCATATGATCACCTGACGGACTAGTAATGAAGCCCAGTTTATATTGTGTAGTTATGAATGTGCTGGTAATCAAACCATGCTGTGATGAAACATGGGATTAATTACCCATCAAGGACTCAATTGTTATTGTAGTGTGCAGCCTTTGATCTTGGCACTGTATTAAGAACTTCAGATCGTTTCCTGTTGGACAACTTGAGATGGCCTAAAGCTATAACAGTCACTCCCAACATTATAGTGCTGATCTCTGAGACCTAAAGTGGAACTAAACTCTCTCAGTCAACATTAACAATTTTTAATCTTTATGTTACTAACATTTATAAATACTGTAGATAGAAAGTACATTATATTTGCTTGTTTTAAACCTTTTACATTTCTTTGGTCGCGTCCTGGTTTCTGACTTAGGGCAAAATGTCGTCATACATCCCAGGAACTCTGGCTCCCCTGTGTAAAGGAGAGCTGTGACATCACCCATAGGCCCCCATGGCTCAGCCCTTGTTGGTGCTCCCTCCTCTCCCCCGCAGCAGCTGCTCACTAAGGCTTGGTTCACATATGTGCAGGTGGTGCCGCTATGGATCCGCATGAAAATCCGTGCAGCCGCACCACCCGTACAGAGGAATGCGGACCCGCGGGCAGGAATACGCAACCGTACTGGGAACCGAGGTTCCCATGCGGGCTGCGTTTTCAGAAGAAGAGCAGGGACTTTTTCCCTGCGTGTCACGGGCACAGGAGTCCATTCAAATTAATGGCTCTCGTGCGCATGAAAAACACGGCCCGCACGGACGCATATATGTGAACCAGGGGTAACACAGGGATGGTGGAATTGTGAGTCAATGAAACCATGCTGTAGAGAAAGTCAGTGAGTAAGGACATGTTACATGAAACTGCTAAAGATTTCTGTTACTAAGGACCCCTTTGCAAATCAATTCTCCCACTACTGACTGCTGAGATATACAGTATATATAGTATATTTTTGTCCTCATTAGGGAGATTAGCTCTCTCTAATTGTCCTGATCACTATTGTCATCACCAATGAAAGTGCGGATAAATCCAAAAATTTTCAGTTGCCACCAGAAACAGGGATATAGCAGAAATCTAATGGGGACATTTGCTCTTGTGACAACTGTCTAAAGCCTAGTACATGATAGCCAGGGGCTAACGACGCGTTGGGGAGATTGACTTCAGTACACATGACTAGTTTTTTTTTTTTTTCTGTTCAACCCAGCAGGCTGAACGAAAAACAAACTGACAGCTCAGGAGGAGCCGCTGTGCTTACTATCCAATCTCCCCTACTGTGTTATTGTGTTTTGAGGGGGGAGGGGGGGGTGCAGGTGGTGCCTCCACCTGAACACTCCGGTCAGCTGATCGGAAGCCAATTGCCAGACCTTTCTGAATCATGCCCCTGCCCTGGTCTGTTGGACCAGCCCCTGTACACATGGGCTGAATGGCAGCTCGGACTTGCTCGGCAGCTCGGACTAGACTTGCTTGAGATGGGATTTCACTCACATATATCCTCATTTTCTATTGAGTTTACAGGACAGAAAGTGAAGGAAAATCTCATTAATGAGGCACAGATGGCAAAAAAAAGTTTCCCTGATTTTGGTGAAAATTCAGTTTACGTCCTGTTGTGTTCCCAGGACAGGAGGTGAAAGGAAATCTGCCCAAAAGGGCACATACATCTAACAGAACCTGACAACAATTTTACCCTCCCGTACGCTATCCAAAATGTATTTGTTAAAGCTTTTTAGTACTGTGTTGCTAATATATTGATGTTTCTTTGATCTCCTCATAGACTCTATCGATGCTGCCTACCAGAATATTGCGACTTTTAGAGTTTGTTGGCTTTTCTGGTAACAAGGTAAGATATTTCCAGCATTATCTCCTTCCTTCTCGTTGTATCTAGAGCTCAACATCTGCTGTCGAGGTATTTATGGTATTATGAGGTTACCATTAGCTCCTTGGAAACATGTATTCATTTCGAGGAGCCTGACAGTGCAGCTTAAATCTTGCAGTACGCAAGCGACAACTCCAGTCACACTGCACAAGCGCTAACACATTTTTGCCAAACTTCAACTTGCATTATTTTCAATTGACACTTGCATCATGCAGCTGGGTAGGCGACTGCAAGATTTAGGCTATTCTGCCAGGCTGCTGGGAAAGATGCCGGGGTGCCTGAAATAGAGAGGGAAGGTAATAGAAGGACGTTGAGGATTACACATGTGGGAAAACAGTGAACCACCAAGGATGAGGTACAATATATATTTTAAATATACTGAAATGCAGTTATTACCCTGCAATCTGTGCCTTACTTGCTCTTGACCTGACCTCTGCACTTTGTATGTTACATACTCCTGACTCCCTGCACTCTGTGCTACTTCCTTCTGACCTGTCCACTCTCTGTGCTTCTTGCTCCTGACCTGTACTCTCTCTGCGTTACTTGCTCCTGACCTCTTTGTGTACATTACTTAACTCTGACTTCAGCTCTTGGTGCATTACTTACTTTTGAGCTCGCTGTCTGTGCGTTACTTACACCTGACCTCTACACTCCTTGTGTTACTTACTCCTGACCTCTACACTCCTTGTGTTATTTACTCCTGATCTCTACACTCCTTGTATTACTTACTCCTGACCTCTACACTCCTTGTGTTACTTACTCCTGATCTCTACACTCCTTCTGTTACTTACTCCTGACCTCTACACTCCTTGTATTACTTACCCCTGACCTCTACACTCCTTGTGTTACTTACTCCTGACTTCTACACTCCTTGTGTTACTTACTCCTGACCTCTACACTCCTTGTGTTACTTACTCCTGACTTCTATACTCCTTGTGTTACTTACTCCTGACCTCTACACTCCTTGTGTTACTTACTCCTGACTTCTACACTCCTTGTGTTACTTACTCCTGACCTCTACACTCCTTGTGTTACTTACTCCTGACTTCTATACTCCTTGTGTTACTTACTCCTGACCTCTACACTCCTTGTGTTACTTACTCCTGACCTCTACACTCCTTGTGTTACTTACTCCTGATCTCTACACTCCTTCTGTTACTTACTCCGGACCTCTACACTCCTTGTGTTACTTACTCCTGACCTTTACACTCCTTGTGTTACTTACTCCTGATCTCTACACTCCTTCTGTTACTTACTCCTGACCTCTACACTCCTTGTGTTACTTACTCCTGATCTCTACACTCCTTCTGTTACTTACTCCTGACCTCTACACTCCTTGTGTTACTTACTTCTGACCTCTACACTCCTTGTGTTACTTACTTCTGATCTCTACACTCCTTGTGTTACTTACTTCTGACCTCTACACTCCTTGTGTTACTTACTTCTGATCTCTACACTCCTTGTGTTACTTACTCCTGACCTCTGCTCTCTGTTTCTTACTTCTGACCTGACCTCTGCTCTCTCTGCGTTACTTACTCCTGACCCCTTGCACTCTGCATTACTTTCTCCTGACCTGTGCTGTCTCTGAGATACTTGATCCTGATATCTGCTTTCAATGTATTACTTACCTTGCACCTTTGCTGTGTGTGCATTACTTACCCCTAATCTCTGCTTTCCATGTACTTACTCCTGCTCTTCCTGTGTTAGTTACTCCTGGCTTCTACACTTCATGCATTACTTAAGCTGAACCTCTGCACTCCATTGATTTTAATCTGATTAAAGTAATTTATTACACTAGGTCAGTGTGCTCTTGTTGGATTTATTTTTGAAGATGTTCGAAGCCTGAAAAATGAAAACAAATGCAGCCTCCACAGCTAAAGCTGGTGATGCTGCAATATATTAAATTTTTTGGTTCTTGGGTTTAGATGTCCTTTAAAGAGGGACTCTAACCAAAACCAGACAATTCACCTTATGCTTAATAGACATTTGTAAAATACTTTTAGTAACATACCCATATGCTGAGAAGTGACATTTCACATAGAAGTCACTGAATCTTTTTTAATTAATTTCTTCTTTTGAGTATGTGAATTTTAATTGAATGATGAACAAACAAACTTTTACAATGTTCCAGTAAAACATTCACCAAATCTGGTAGGTTGCACATGGGGTATATAGGTTCTGTGCATGCAATCCCAGCATTTCAGTGCGCCTGGGAGGTACAGGTGCAGAGTCCAACCCCACTGCTTGCACCCTGTAAAAGTCAATATGGTGGATGAGACTGAACACTGTACCCTGTTGTACTCATGTGTAGGGCCTTATATGTTCAGGAACAAATGTCTGAAATGCAGAATACCTACATATTGGGGGAAAAACACATTAAAAGAGAAGTATGGCTTTTTATTTTTTTTAAATCATACTTACCTATGTGGATGCAGCATCGATCTGATGGCTTAAAGGGTGAGAAATGAGTGGTCAAACACCCTTGCTGCTCTGAGCAGAGAGCGGTGACTGTTAGTCACCGCTCTCTAATCTGTCCCCCAGCACTCACTATAGCGCTGGGCTGTGGAGGCGGCTTGCTGAGTGGACCGGCTCTGTGAAGTCAACCGACAGCGGGCTTTAGCCTGCTGTCAGATGAAAATGGGTCACAGGGGTGCAGAACGAACTGCACTCCTTTGATCCATAGGAGAAGTACAGCCAAATGAGCTTTGGCCGTACTTCTCCTTTAAATCTATCTCATGTGTCGCCAGTGGAGACAAGCACTTAGTCCAGCACAGAACACTTCAGAACAGGCAAAGAACTATGTTTGATGACTTATGCATATACAAATATTTTTCTGTCTAAAACAGAGGTACTGTTGTATACTCGTGTGTGTACCCATTCTTTCAGGTGCCATATTTATTTATCGATAGACTTTTAATTGGATTTTAAATTAAATTGAGTTCCCTGTGTGCTCTGCAAAGCTTAACTTTCAAGCTTGATTGAATAGTTCATTTGATTTGATATTTCCTGCTCCCAGGCAAGTGCTGAAACATTGTTATTAATGCCTAATGATATTTGTGTATTCCCGCAGGATTATGGGCTGATGCAGCTTCAGGAGGGGGCAGCGGATCACAGTTTCCGGGCTTTGCTCTGCACCCTTCTGCTTCTATGCTATCACACCTTCCTGAGCTTTGTATTAGGTGAGTGCACTTCATAAATAATGTCTTTTGTTTATTGCCAGTATATTACAAGGCACTTTACAGAATATACGTATACCCTACACTTACCCAGGCTTCCAGCAGAAGTACGCATACTTGTTCTCAAGCGAGTTTAGGCAGAAGCTATGTAAAGTGATCCAGTAATATACCCAATGCTAAAATGATGTAAACATGAAGCTGTGCTTTGTTCATGCAGCCCAATAGCAATAATGCCCAGCCTCCTTCTGCATATGCTCAATTTTTCTTCCCACCCTCACCAAACCATTCACCTTAGGAGTGAAGAGGAATTCCCAGTATTCCTGGGTATGGGTTAATGTGACTATTACTTGACAGTGATGATGCATTTTGACACATGGAGGCGGTAGAGGGTCCTCAGCCCTATGTAATCTATGACTTGGATTGATTTTGAATTTACACAGGACTTTTTCTCCAGCGGGGAACAGAGCAACAAAGGAACTAAAAATGGTCAATATAACATGCTGTGGGGTTGGCTTTCAAGTGAAAATGTTTCTTTGTTCTATGTTGGCAAAGTTCAGGTTCACTTTATTAAAGTGTACAGCAGAAACCATAGAGTGCTTGCACCTTGCCCACCTCAGTGATCCTCAACCACAGCCCCTAAACTTTGTTAAGCTACTATCAACTTTCTGAAAGTTACGGTCCCCAGGTTAGAGAGCTCGAGCATAGGGTCTTTGAGGCACTGGCATTGCATTGTGGAAGGCAAGGGTAAGATACATAGGTGCTCCACAGCCTGAAGTTCAGGAATCAGTAGATCAGGAAGATAGTCAGTGCTGGTTTTATAGCAACTTATACCACCTCATTGGTTCTTACAGGCAACCCAGCACCTCTGGCAAATGCTAGGTTTGCTAGGTTGTCAGTTGAGACTGGTTCCTATGTATGCATTTCCTCTATACTACAATGTATTTCTGTGTATTCCAATATATACTACAATGTATTTTATGTAAACCTGGGTCCAAGCAACAGACTCTGCCTCCCCCGCAGCACTCTCCTATGGAGGTCTCATCTGGACCCATTCCCCCAGACCCAGTGGTCGGAAAGGTGGTGGGGTTGGTTTGCTCCTATCACCACTGAGCACCTTTCAAGTCCTCCCTAACCCTCCCTCTCTATCCTTCTCCTCCTTCGAGACCCACTACATCCGGCTATTCTCTGCAATCTCTCTGAGGATTGCAGTGATCTATCGGCCTCCTGGACCTGTGTCCCGCTTTCTTGATGACTTTGCCGCCTGGCTACCCTTCTTTCTCTCCTCTAAGCTACCCACTATCATTCTTGGAGACTTCAACATCCCTATCAACATCAATAACCCAGCTACATCCCAACTCTTCCACTTAACCTCTTCTTTTGCACTAACTCAGTGCATACAGTCCTCCACTCACTCTGACGGGAACACTCTTGACCTTTGCACTCCCTGCAACCTCACAAACACCCCCTTTCCTCTCTCCGATCACAACCTCATCACCTTCTCCGTCTCCTCATCCTCAAACACCTATCCCTCCAAACGCCAAATAATTACCAGCAGAAACCTCCGGAATTGGAACCCTGCTCCCTTCCACTCTGCAACTGACCAACTCTACAACACCATCCATCCCCTGTCCTGCCCTGACCTAGCCACTACTGCCTACAACAACTCACTTGCAGCTGCTCTAGACTCGCTCGCACCCCCAACAACATGAAGCATTAGGCCCCGACCGCTACAACCCTGGCAGACTGACCACACCAGAAACCTCAAACGACATAGTCGTGCGCTGGAGCGACTATGATGTAAAACCAAATCCCAACAAGCGTTCACCCGCTACAAATCTGCCTTCTTAACGTACACTTCCTCCCTTCACGCTGCCAAACAGGCCTATTTTTTTACCCTCATCAATACCTTCTCCTCCAATCCTCGCCGGCTCTTCTCCACTTTTAACTCCCTCCTTTCTCCGCCTCCACCTCTGCCCAGTACCTCACTTACCACCCATGAGATTGCCAAACATTTCAAAAACAAGATTGACGCAATTCGTACGGACTTTGCCACTGCTCAGACACCCATCCCACTTAGCACTCCTCACACAATAACCCCCTCAACACTTTGCTCCCTTGACCTCACTACCACCAAAGAGGTCACTAAGATTTTCTCCCGAAGCCCACCTCACCACCTGCCCCCTGGACCCTGTCCCCTCACAACTCCTTCGGTCCCCCTCCTCTTCCATCCTATGCTCCCTCACTCACATCTTCAATCTTTCCCTCTCCACCGGTACCTTCCCCTCCCCTCTAAAGCACGCGCACATCACCCCCATACTTAAGAAACCCTCCCTGGACCCTATCGACCTGAACAACCTAAGACCGATCTCCCTACTGCCATTTACCTCTAAACTCCTAGAACGCTTAGTCTACAATCACCTAAGCTCCCATCTCACCGACAACAACCTTCTCGACCCTTTACAGTCCGGCTTCCGTGCCCTACACTCCACTGAAACTGCCCTACTCAAACTCACCAATGACCTACTAACCGCCGAAACCAATGGCCACTATACTATACTCCTACTACTTGACCTCTCTGCGGCTTTTGACACGGTTGACCACCCCCTCCTCAAAAAACTGCACTGTCTTGGCCTCAGAGACTCCGCTCTCTCCTGTTTCTCCTCCTATCTATCGCAGCGCTCCTTCAGTGTTACCTATAACGCTGCCACCTCCCCCTTCACTCCCTCTCTCTGTCGGGGTCCCTCAAGGCTCTGTCCTCCTCTTCTCCATCGACACCTCCTTCCTTGGCCAATTGATAAACTCACATGGCTTCATCTCTATGCCAACGACACACAAATCTATCTCTCTACCCCTCACCTCACCCCCTCAGTCTCAGATCGGATCACCAGCCTACTAAGTGACATATCGGACTGGATGTCACTCCACTTCCTCAAACTCAACCTTTCCAAAACTGAGCTTCTAGCCCAGCCCGTCCCCCCCCCCGACTTCTCCATCAAGACCAACAACACAACCATCAGTCCCACCCCTCACGCAAGGTTCTAGGTGTAATCTTAGACTCCAATCTGTCCTTTCAGCCCCAGGTCCAATCACTGACAAACTCATGTAGACTTCACCTCCGCAACATCTCCACGATACGACCGTTCCTAACCTCGGAAACCACTAAGAAACTCATCCACTCCCTTATTATATCACGCCTTGACTACTGTAACTCCCTCCTCACTGGCCTACCTTATCGCAGGCTATCCCCACTCCAGTCCATCATGAATGCTGCTGCCAGACTCATTCACCTTACTAACTGCTCTGTATCTGCCACCCCTCTCTGCCAATTCCTCCACTGGCTTCCTATTGCCCAGCAGATAAAATTCAAAACACTAACACTGACGTACAAAGCCGTTCATAACACTGCCCCTAACTATATCACCGACCTTGTCTCTAAATACCTCCCAAACCGTACTCTCCGCTCCTCGCAAGACCTCCTACTCTCTAGTTCCCTTTTCTCCTCCTCCCATGCTCGTCTCCAGGATTTCCCATGGGCTTCACCCATCCTCTGGAACTGCCTACCTCAAGCTATGAGGCTATCGCCTACCCTGCTCACTTTTAGGCGCACTCTGAAAACTCATCTCTTCAGGGAAGCCTACCCTGACCCCGGCTAACTACTGGAATCCCCTACGCCCCCAACCACTCCATCCCCCACAGCTAGCTAATTACCTCTTGTACCACTATCCCCTCCCTCCCAGATTGTAAGCTCCAAGGAGCAGGGCCCTCTAATCCCTCTTGTATTGAACTGTATTGTTACTGTACTGTCTCCCTCCATAATGTAAAGCGCTGAGCAAACTGTCGGTGCTATATAAGTCCTGTATTATAATATAATAATAATAATATTTCTGTTATCTACATCCAGGTACTGGAAAAGGAAATGTTGAGGAAGCAGAGAATCTGCTACACCCATATCTCAAACGCTATCCCAAGGTAAGGGAAGTTCACCAGATTTTCCAGAATAATAACCTAGACTTAGAGGTTCAGTTCATGGGTTCTATCTATCTATCTATCTATATCTATCTATCTATCTATCTATCTATCTATCTATCTGTCATAGACACTCCTTATATCATCCCACCACAAATGATGGTGCTTGGGTCAAATATATGTACCTTTTTGGACAGGCAGCTGGTACTAAGGCCAGAGCATCCATACCAAACACTCCACCACTTCAGTGCAGTTTACTGACACTGAGCCTGATAAAACGTCAGCCAGCCACTGTGTCCATCAGACGGGCAGAGCAACCATGACATTTTGTTGTAGGGTGGGTGATGTCTGGGGGGGAACTCCTGAGACTAGTTCCCCATCAAGGGGAACTGAAGGGCGACTATGGTGTTTGGCCACTGCCATCTATTTTGAATCACAAGGCAGGAGGACCTAATGGAAAATTAAACTCTCAGAGGGCACTCTTAGCAATCGGTCAGCTGTTAGTTAATATAAAAAGTTGGTCAGCTTCCGCCCTCTGTCCAGACCTGCTAAGGACACTAATGTAAAAAAGGGCCTGTAATGGTAAGGAAAGGGGGTGACTCTGATACGAAGGGGGCTGTGATTTAAAAGGTGGGAAGGACTGTTATGTGAAGGGGCAGTGAGAACACTTATGTAGAGGGGGGACCATGATGTAATTGGGGGGAGGGACTGAGGACTCAGATTTAAAGGGGACTGTAATGTAAAAGGAAAGGAGTTGGAAATGGGGACACTGATATAAAGGAGAGACTGCGATGAAAGGAGGTGACTGGGAAGTGAAAGTGATCAGTGATGTAAAGGGGGACCGAGGCTACTGATGTAAAGGGGGAGACTGTGATGTGAAGGGGGTCTGTGATGTAAAGAGGGGCTGTGATGTGAAAGGGAAATTGAGGACAATGCTGGGGGGGAGGGGGGTTTGGCTGTAATGTGAAGGGAGGTCTGAGGGCACTGATATAACTGGGATGGGGGATTTGGGATAGGAAGGGGGTGCTGTTACATTAAGGGGTGTGGGGTTGAGGACACTGATGCAAATGGAAGATTGTGATGTGAAGATGGGGCTGTGATGGAAAGGGGGGATTGTGATGTAAATGGGGGACTAGGACAATGATGTGAGGGGGGCTGTGATATGGAGGGTGGCTAAGTCACTTATGTAAATGGAAGACTGTGATATAAAGGGGGGACTGTGGTGTGAAGGTTGGTATTGGAAACAATGATTTAAAGGAAAGGGGGACTGTGATATGAAGGACGGCACTAAGTTTATTGAATAAGGAGCATAAAGTGGGCAGCCCAGTGGCTAAATGGTTAGCACTTCCGCCTGGCAGCACTAGGGTTGTTGGTTCAAATCCCAACAACGGCACTACCTGCCTGGAGTTTGCATGCTCTCCCTGTGCCCACGTGGGCTTCCTCTAGGTACTCCAGTTTCCTCCCCCACTCCAAAAACATGCTGGTAGGTTAATTAGATCCTTTTCAAATTGGTCCTAGTATGTGTATGAATGAATGTAAGCTAGGGACCTTAGATTGTATGCTCCTTGAGGGTTAGGGACTGGTGTGAATGTACAATATATATGTAAAGCACTGACATATATATATTGACAGCACTATATAAGTACCTGGGAAAATAAATAAATTTAAAGTGATTGAGTGCTAAGTGGTGCAACTATTTTTTGATCAATTGGCTTTCATTTTGTTAATCATCTGGCCACAGAAACCTGTTATGTGTCTGCTATAGGTTATTGCACTTTGAATAACATCATGCATTTTGCACTGACATACTAAATAAGATGATATAAGTCATGTGTGGTAACTGTTATTTCTGAAGATGCATCCTTGCTTGACATTCTTCCATGGCAGAAATATTTGGTAAGTGTAGCTGGGAAACAGGGATCCCCGGAAAAATACCTTAAAGCGGAGTTCCACTCACCCTGTCAAAAAATAAAAGTCAGCAGCTACAAAAACTGTAGCTGCTGACTTTTAAAAAAACAGCCACTTACCTGTCCCTCGTTGTGACCCCCGCAGCCCGTTTCACTGGCCGTCCTATATTCCAGGAGGCCAGCATCTTCAGTGTGAGCTTCACAGCTGGGTACCCACTGCGCATGCACTAGTAGCACTGCGCTTCATGAATGGTCCTGTAGTCTTCTGGGACCTGTCACGTGTCCCAAAAGACTACAGGAAGGGAGGACACCTTCCGCTTCCAATCGCCTAGGTAAGTGGGAGTGGGTACCTGTCAAATTCGGATACCTGCTCACCCCCCCCCCCCCCCCCAAAGGTGCCAATCCTTAATGGGGAGCGGAGGAGCAGTCCTTAAAGCGGAACTTGCCCTTTGGGGTAGAGCTCCGCTTTAAGGCTTCATGCACATGGGAGCATTCACTTGTAGAACATAAACACGCTGTGAATTTTTGTGGACAGGATGCCTTGATGCTGCATACACAGCTGTTTATAGATATGAATGGTTGAAAGTGACTGTACACTGCTATTTGCGTAACATCGTGCATGCGCACAGACATAATGTCCTAAACGCAGATAGTGGTTGCAAGAGGTATGTTATGTTTCACTTTTTCAGAAAATTACAAAAAGCATTGTGGAATACAGATACTTTACTTGTATGAGTGCTTTATTTTGCATTGACAGTATCAGTATAGGAAGTATTGTTTGTTTCATTTACCATATTATTTGAAATGCACGGAGTGTCCAGCTGAGCTGCTATTAAATATTATAATACGTCTGTCCCACTCATTAATGCATATATGCAAAGGTTAGAGTTCAGGATCAGCTCAGTTGCTTGAGGGATCATAGTGGGGAGATTCTTCTTCTCAGATCCTTGCTCCATCCTCCCTGTCACTGCTGTAGCCCTATATACAAAGCCTTAATGTTTCCTGACTTCTTCTGAATACTAGATATCAATATATGGGGAAATAATAATAAAATAATGTATAATTATTTTGTATACATTCACATGTATTATAATCAGGGCTAAAAAAAAAAGATATCTTGATCTGTTTATATCTTTATTCTCTTAACCACTTGATAACAGAAAGCAAATAGTATGGCTTTGTCTTACAATGGCTTTTCCAGAACTGTGTGTTCATAGCTAAAACTTTTTTTTTTCGTATATGTCTTTCCAGGGTTCCATATTCCTTTTCTTTGCTGGAAGAATAGAAGAAATTAAAGGGAACATTGATGCTGTAAGAAAATAAAACTAAGCCTATATATTTACCAGGGACAGAGCAATGTGCAGTACTCCTTGGCATCCAGACATGGCAACTTTGATTGTCCTCAGATGTAAACTGCCATTTGATTTCTGCCCAGCATTTTCCAAATCTTTGTTAGTACTTGAAATAAAAGTTAAGGGGGTGGTTTTCTGGAACCCCCCTATTAATTATACAATTATGTACTATTTGTCGGTTCCTATAATTAATTTGTAAATATATAAGCTTTGACAATATTGAAGGACGTAATATACTGAAATAATAGCTATAATAACAAACACAATGCTCAAAGAAGCAAGGTCTTATTAATTTACACTAACAGAGAAATCTAAACCAATATTACAGAGTATAATGGAATAATAGTAAAGATGATACGATACGTAAGTTCGTCCTCAAAGCTGAGTATCATTTAGCTGGTTCTCAGGTAGGAAAAAATGGTCAAAGAGAAAGAGCCTGGCCAAAACTGTGTTTAAAAGCACTCTTAAACACCACCCACACACACACCCATGACACGCCTGGTGTAGTCCTCTGTCCAATGAGCAAACATCCATAACTCATAAGGGGCTGTCCTCTCTCTTCATTAGGATGTGTAGAATTACCCCAGCCATCCTCCCAGAAGTATGTTGTCTCCACCAGGGGGCACTGCTATATTGCCAACAATGCTCGGACCCAGGTCAATCACATCTGGCTTCTTCCTTGTGGCTAGAAGCCATGTAATCTGTCCTTTTAATACTCGTGGCACCAGAGAGTCTGACTCGTGGCACCAGAGAGTCTGGGCTGAGGACCTCTTATCTCCATGCCCCACTGCTAGGGGGTATGTGTGAACTCCCAGGACAAGGATTTCGGTATGCAGCCTTTTGTTACACACGCCCTGTTGTAAATACTTGCTTTTCTTTATACTCCAAGATAACATTCAATAGGCCAAATAGTTCTTTGACAACCAGGCAGTAAAAATCCATAAATGTCTGAAATAAAAAAACATGTTGCCTTCCAACAGTACTATTCATGTTTTACCAAATTGGCTATATGCTAAACTTCAGCTTACCTTCAGTCTTGCACAGTTGTACAAGCTCCCCTCCTACACTGAGTTTGCCTACTCTGATGTCACTGCACACTGTGAACTTTTCACAGTGTGTATCAGAAGCTGCAGCAAGTCAGATAAAGTAGAGTCCACCTCATTTCCCAGCTGGAGAATGTCCCACATCATGTAGACCTTTCCTCTTCAGCCTAGTTTACCACATTCATTCATTCAATTATAGAGATTCAGCATTACATGGGAGCATTGCCTAGGACAGTCTACATGCAAATATAGCCTGCATTGGAACACACAGTATTCCAGACTGATAAGACACATACAAGCAGCACACCAACCTCAGTTTATAGTCCCTAATATTGTATGAAAAAAGCCAGTCCTTTATATAAATGCCCTTCCTACCAGAGGTAGTCCTCCTTTCTCTAGCTTATCCACGAGAATGGGACTGTAATGATGAAAAATACGCATTGTGTAGTACTTGCAATTTTTATGTCAGTGCTAGTTATATACATTTCTTCTAAAGCCTTGTCGCCCATTTAATGTTTTCCTCCTTTTTAATCCCCTACCATACAGAAAACATCTGTAGTACTCACATATTGCATATGCTCCTATTCTCTGCAGGCCATCCAGAGGTTCGAGGAGTGTTGTGAAGCCCAGCAGACCTGGAAACAGTTCCATCATATGTGTTACTGGCAGCTGATGTGGTGCTTTACCTACAAGCAGCAATGGAAGATGGCATACTTCTATGCTGACCTTCTGAGCAAGGAAAGCTCCTGGTCCAAGGTATTTAAATGAGTTTAAGCCAGTGAATTATCTTATATTATATGTAACTATGGTATCCACAATATGAAAATGATATAAATATATATATTAAACCCTCTTAGTATAAACGGTCTAACTTTCACCCTTGAAAGTGGAAATAACTAATAAAACCCAAATGTGCCAAAATTGTGAAAAAGTCAACTACCCAAAAATGTGCACACACAAAAGAATTATGTCAAAATAAATAATCATATAAGTCACTAATGTCCAAAAAAATTGATTAAACCAATATAAAAATAAAAATACAAATAAAGTTCTTCCAATCTTTAATTCCGATGTGAAAATCTCCGGTTCTTTGATAGCGAGCCTACCTATTGGCTCCCCCAGAAATAAGACCCTCAAAAGAAAAGAAAACTCATATAGTGCAATATCATTTTTTAATTAAAATGTCCAATACAGCAACACTCTACACTGTGCAATTCCAAACAAACCAAAACGTGACCTTATCAGTGACAAGTGAACATAGTGAAGCAACCGTGATTGTGCGTCACTCTGTGAATAATAAATCCAAAAACAAAAACTTCCGTGTACACTTCTAGGTGTAAGGCATAAATACCCTTACCCCAAAACAACAATAAACACGCCTGGTGTAGTATGTAACACTCTTCACATGCAAATCCTTCCAAGCCTGAATCTCGCTCTTTAAGATGTCATCAAACACCTTCTCCTAGATGTCATCATGGCTGATTAGGCTGCACTCCATGTTACTCACAGTACCCATATTCCAATCGATATGCAGATAGTATATAAGAAAATACATAGTATAATACCGTATGGGATTATCAAAATATACTTTAATTATATGCTTACATTGAAACCATATAAAAATTGCCTTGTTCCCATGCCCTCAGACCTCACTGGTCACCAAGTAGCTTCCTAGATGTTTGGTATGTATTTTTCCAGTGTCCAAGATGGCCAATCCACCTCTTCCGGTTCCTCTCTGTGCTTCCGATGTCACTTCCATTGACGCGTTTCGTCACTTCCAGGACTTAGTCATAAGGGGTGGCACCCCTTTATATTTTGATAATCCCATGCGGTATTATAGTATATATTTTCTTAAATACCATCCGCATATCGATTGGAATATGGGTAGTGTGAGTAACATGGAGTGCAGCCCAATCAGCCATGATGACATCTAGGAGAAGGTGTTTGGATGACATCTTAAAGAGTGAGATTCAGGCTTGGAAGGATTTGCATGTGAAGAGTGTTACATACTACACCAGGGATCTTTAAGGTGTGTTTATTGTTGTTTTGGGGTAAGGGTATTTATGCCTTACAGCTAGAAGTGTACATGGAAGTTTTTGTTTTTGGATTTATTATTCACAGAGTGACGCACAATCACGGTTGCTTCACTATGTTCACTTGTCACTGATAAGGTCACGTTTTGGTTTGTTTGGAATTGCACAGTGTAGTGTTGCTGTATTGGACATTTTAATTTAAAAATGATAATGCACTATATGAGTTTTCTTTTCTTTTGAGGGTCTTATTTCTGGGACAGTGAATTATCTTGGTTATAGGAAGACTGAGATTGAGCTCTGCAGTCACTTTTGTAGCAGTTGTTTTCTTATTCCGGGTCACAATCCTGCGCAATGTCCTTTTGTCTCTTTCGGTCAGTTGACCGTGTCGACCAAGCATATGCTTGTCATATGACGTTTTCCTGAAAACTGTATTTGCCATCATAACCTTTGATACTGTACCTCGCGACATGGCAAATAAATTGGCAGCTTCAGTCGCAGAGTCACCAGCTGAGCAGCACCAAAAATTCACCCTCTTTGAAGCTCAGTAAGCTCTGACATGACTCCGTATTACTAGGAGTGTATGACGAAAGTGAAGCTTCCCAACTGTTAGCTAGGTGTCTCATCACACAGCGGAAGCAAAAAAGTGTTACATCACTTCCGCTTTCAACCCGAAACGTGTCGTCATGTTCACACCTGCAAATCATGTAGAGTTTCCTTTTCTTGGTCTAACCCCTGTACATTCCACTGACTTTCAGACGCCAACAACATAATCATTGTTGTTCACTTTACCTGTCATAGGTCATAAAATGTATAGCTGATTGGTGTATGTTAAGGTAGAACCCAAAGCAAATTTTGTTTAGTTCTGGATAGCGTGTGAAAGGGTTAGAACTTCTGTTGGGATTATTAATATTGTCTATGTCCATGTCAGAGTGATTCTTTTAGTTGGTGGTCACCAGGATAGAAAGTGAGGAGAACATTTCATAGTTGTCCCCTGTATAGCCATGGCTGTTTTAGTAATATTTGTAAACTTGTGATTTTCCTTTGACTTTAAGGGGGATGCTTTCTCACTTCCTGTTTTGTTTTTGGTACAGGAAGTAAGATGAAATTCTCCAAGGGGGATACAGACAGCAATAAAATCTTGATAGAAGGTGTGACTCTTTCCCACTCTATCCAAAACTAGAAAAAAGGATTGCTGGGAGCTCCATATTAAAGTATAGAGTGGAGAAAAATGACACCTGTCAGGTCTTTATTGCTGTCTGTGCCCTTGTTAGGGAGATTCCCCCTCTATTTGTTTACCATTATCACCAAGAGTGAAAGAAACTTCCATATTTTTGGTTGCCACCAGAACAAAAAATAGAGGGGAAATCTTTCAATGGGGACACTAGTCCTGGTGACTCTTGTAACAACTAGGGATTCCTTCACTTCCTGTTTTGGCTATTTGACATGAAGTAAAGGAGAGTCTCCTCAATGGGACAACCTTACTGTATCCACAATTCATTTATTTTATACTTTTATAATTGTATACTGTTTACAGTCTTTGTATTTGAAAGCTTTGTTCACCTTTTAAATGTATATGTTATGTTACTTCTTTCACAGGCCACATATGTGTATATGAAAGCAGCATATCTCAGCATGTTTGGTCGAAATGACTCCAAACCCTTTGGGGAGGATGAAGTACAACTTTTCAGGTAAGAAGGAAAGAAAGTATGATTTCTTGCTGCCTGTCTACAACATAAGTGTACGGTGGGTTAGATCATATAAGATTTTGAGCTGATTTTTCAAGAATTGTTTATGAAACTTTACCTTTACGTCTTCAGCTGAAATGTTGTACTAGCTACCTTGGAGCTCTACAACCATGTGTTTGTATTATCAGATATAGGAGATTATTTCCATTTGAGAGAAAAGCAAAACCAGCGCTCAGGTCCATACACATCCTAGGAACACGGTACCAGTCACTCGCTGAGATGCAGCCCTCTAAAGATCGGGGAATCTTGATAATACTGGAAAAAAGCATAAAAGGGCGCACTCTCCTCGTGCATTACCGTGATAAAAAAGTATTTATTGAAAATGACAAAAGTGTATACTCACAAACCAAGAGTCATAAATAAGAGCAAGGAACCAGTGTGACCGTCCCAGCAGATGTATTAGGAAAACCCCCTGCGCTTAAATGGATAATCCCTAACCTAAGCTGCTCACACCCCCCTTTTTACCAAAAAGTGACACAAAAAATGAATAAATGGTGTAGCGCTATATAAATACTAATACATATAAATATAATAAAAATAATATTAAATCAATATATAACACAAATACCCTGAAGAAGTCATGTGGTTATCGTGACGCAACGCGTCGGTACGCTGTGACAGGACTTCCAGTGAGCGGTGACGTCATTTCCGGCGTGGGTGCCATATTGGGACACAAGGAACCATGCAGTACACCCATAATATGGGGGAATAAGGCTTGATGAGTTCTAATACAATGTGAGTAGGCATTTTTACTATGTTTTTTTCCTATTAATAAATACTGATTCACACTATGGAGGATCTCTTTTGTCTTTGTTATGATCCTTTGGTGTGAACGGCAACATAAGGGTACCAGGTGATTGGAGAGAGCTCAGGAGGAGTATTGAGTCTGCTGAAGTATCCAGAGTGGTCTTTTACTGTGACGTGGTAGTTCCTGTGCGGAACGTGGTTAATCCACAAAGCGAGCTGGCCCTTGCGGTCACTGTGAGGAGGTGAGGGGGCACTCAGGCCACTTAAGGATACTAATCACAAGGTTTTTGGCACTAAACTCACCCCACGTTGTGTTGATTTATTCACGTTATGTCGATTTGTATTTGTGCACAAAAGAGTGTATTCAAGTGGACATTTATACAGATTGGACATTTATGATTTATCACTTATTGTGTGTGTTTTATGAAATGTTGGTACACTTGCACTTGTGTGTTTATGTATAGGTTGTGTTCCCATACAGGGAATCACTTGTTTCACTTTCTACTTGATCCCCCGATTGGGGATATAGATGTTTTTGGGGGTTCACTTTATAGGCTTGTGATTTTTTTCACCTATTTGTGTTATATATTGATTCAATATTATTTTTATTATATTTATATGTATTAGTATTTATTTAGCGCTACACCATTTATTCATTTTTTGTTAGTCCCAGCAAATGGTGGTCTTGCGACAGGGTGTGCTAAGGCGGTTCGGGAGACAAGCTCCCTTCCTTGTCTCCCAAAATGTATTAACACACCCTGTCGCAAGACCACCATTTGCTGGGACTGTCACATTGGTTCCTTGCTCTTAACAGGCGTTTCGGGAGTCGAGCTCCCTTCCTCAGAGCTCTGAGGAAGGGAGCTTGTCTCCCAAAATGCGTTAGCACACCCTGTCGCAAGACCACCATTTGCTGGGACTGTCACATTGGTTCCTTGCTCTTAACAGGCGTTTTGGGAGATGAGTGCCCTTCCTCAGAGCTCTGAGGTAGGGAGCTCATCTCCCAAAAGGCGTTAGCACACCCTGTCACAAGACCACCATTTGCTGGGACTGTCACATTGGTTCCTTGCTCTTAACAGGCGTTTCGGGAGAAGAGCTCCCT